AAATCCAGGATTAAGACCATTTCAAAGTGTTCAATTTGATTGTACTGAAATGCCCCAAATCAGTGTGCTAAATATTCATTAATAGTAGACCATTTTACTCATCGGGTAGAGGCTGTCCCTTTCTCGAGTGCAACTGCTAGCGACATGGTTAAAGCATTACTTGAACAGATCATACCTAAGTCTGTGCCAATAGAAAATATTGATTCAGACAATGGAACCTATTTTACTGCACTTGTCATTAAAATGTTGGCTCAAGTATTACACATAAAATGGGAATATCATATTCCTTGACATTCATCTTCCTTAAGAGGAGTAGAGAGGATGAACCAAACTCTCAAAAGTCGCCTAACTAAATTAGTCCTAGAAAGTCGGTTACCCTGAAATAAATGCCTTCCCATTGCACTGTTAAGAAATCAGAACCGCCCCTCAGAAGGACGTTGGCCTGTTGCCTTATGAAATGTACGGGCTGCCCTACTTACATTCCACCACTGTCCTTCCTACATTTGAAAAAAAAAGATCGGTTTCTCATAAATTACATATTTGGTCTCTCCTCTATCTTTTCTTCTAAAACCAGAGGCCTTCTAGCACAAGCACCACCCCTGGAATTCACAGTACACCAGCAGCAACTTGGAGACCATGTTTTCTTTTTCTCTTTTCTTTTTTTCCCCTGAGACAGAGTTTCACTCTGTTACCCAGGCTAGAGTGCACTGGCGTGATCTCCGCTCACTGCAACCTCCACTTCTTGAGTTCAAGTGATTCTCCTGCCTCAGCCTCCTGAGTAGCTGGGACTGCTGGAGCACGCCACAACGCCAGGCTAATTTTTTTAATTTTCAGTAGCAACTAGGTTTCACTGTGTTAGCCAGGATGGTATCAAACTCCTGACCTCGTGATCCACCTGCCTCAGCCTCCCAACCTGCTGGGATTACAGGTGTGAGCCACCGCACCTGGCTGAGACCACGTTTCATCAAAAGGTGGAAAGAAAAGAAGCTTGAGCCAGCTAGAGAGACCCCTACCTTGTGTCTCTAAACACTGAGACTGCAGTCCATACCCAAGTCAAGAAAGCATCATCGGTTCCAGAATCATGGGCTACCATTTCAAGAAATAATTCTACCAAAATAAAGCTAAGAAAAATCTAACCTTCCTGTATTTACTGTTGTGTTACTTTTTCCTATCCAGTGCTTAGCTATTTCATCATTAACGTAACCAGATCAAACTCACCCTGAATTATTACTTTTGATGATGGTTTAGTCATGCCCTGCAGTAATTTAC